TAACAGTCAGTTGCAGAAACGTTCATTAAATTTTTAAAGTGACCTTAAATATTAATGATTCTTTAAAGTGTTGCACAAAATAGCATTTCTCCCTAATTTTAATGCCCCATTAACTTTATTTAACAAAATGTCAAATCGGGACTTTAGCTTATTTTTACGTTGCACAAAACATCATTAGCGCTAAAGGATCATTAATTTGACAGTTTGAGGTTATAATTTGTAATGCCTTGTCGAGCATCCATTAAACGTGTCATTAAACTGCGAATTGTTTTGTAAATAGTGCTATAGTGATTTTTTACTTTATTTCAGTATTATTTACAATGTCCCTCTCAAGCCTTTCGTCTTTATCCGATCCCGAGCAATATGTTCCACGACGACGTCGTGTAATTCCAGATAGGATAAAATTATTTGAAAAACATGATGGAGAAGATTTTCGTGTGAGATACAGGATTTCTAAAGAAGTTGCTTTACGCATTTGCGAGATACTTAATTTAGAACCTGAAACTCGAAGAAATAAAGCCATTGATGGCCTTACACAGTTATTGATATGTTTGAGGTTCTTCGCTACAGGATCTTTCCAGCAAGTGTTAGGCGATTTGGTTAATGTGCACAAGTCTACAATATGTAGAATAGTACAAAAAGTAACCCGCAAGCTGGCAAGTCTAAGCTCAGTGTATATTGAAATGCCTTTAGACAGGAATGAACTACGTAAAGTTGCTGAAGGATTTTTCCAAATTGATGGCTTTCCACGGGTGGCAGGAGCCCTTGATTGCACTCATGTGAAAATAGTTAGCAGAGGGGGGTCACTACCTGAACTGTATCGTTGTAGGAAGGGATTCTTTTCTATTAACGTGCAAGCCGTTTGTGACTCCACTCTTAAAATAAGAGACCTCATAGCTCGTTGGCCTGGGTCGGTCCACGACTCAACGATTTTTAATAACTCACACATATGTGCAGATTTTGAAAGAGGGAAATATGGTCCATACTGTTTATTGGGAGACAGCGGTTACTTCAATAAAAATTATCTGCTGACACCCTTTTTGCGTCCTCAAACCAATTCAGAGGAAGTTTACAACAAAAGTCACATTGCAACCCGCAATACAATAGAAAGATGCTTTGGTGTGCTAAAACGCAGATGCCCATGCCTTGAAAAAGGTATTACACTCAACAAAACATCAACAGTCCTGCAAGTTATAGTTGCATGTGTGGTTTTACATAATCTTTGTATAGAACTTGATGAGGTGGAACCACCTGATGATATAGTCATTGATAGAGATGATGATCATTTCCTTCACACCGGAGTACAGTCTGTTCAGACATCTGTCCGAACAGCTATTGTCAACAGTGTTTTCTCTTAATTAAATTTCTTGTTTAAAATAAACAACCGAAATATTATAACATTGTTTAATTTATTATTAAACACACCTAAATATTAATTAATTATCTTCTGCTTTATGGATAAGGATCTTGGTGAAATAGTTGGAAATAAAACAATGAAAATACCATTTAAATTCTATATTTTTTTTCTTTATTTTTCAAAATTTCCATTCTCAACGAATGTTCTTTTTTCATCTGCATAATTTCCAACATCAACTTCTTTCTCTCCAAATCAGCATTCTGGCATTTTTTCTTAAAATACAATTTTTTCAGTGCTTCAGCTGATGCTGGTTTTATTATTTTTCTTGGTTTGAATGCTGAAATAATAAACATCAAAGCTAAGTTCATATACAGATTTACCTACCTACTATCTATCTATAGCCTAGCTTTCTTTGTTCTTTTTTATTTATATTCCACACAGAAAAATAAGCTACATAATAATCACATTTAATTTACCTTTTTTCTTAGTCGAAAAATTGACACTCTTCGGAGTAGCTGCTGTTTTGGGTGTAGAATTTTCTACTGCCACACTGTCAGCTTGCTGTTCATCAGCTGAAAATAAAATACACACATCCTAATATTGATTATTGTTTTAGTACACATATATTTTAAAATATTGGTTATTTTGCATTAGTTTTGTAACTTTACACACATTTACCAACCTATTAATATAATCTCCTGTGTTGGGGGGCACAAGAAAGCAGCTGTAGACAAAGACGGCATTGGTTCCGCAGTAAAGACATTGGTTTCTGAAAAATGAGTTTAAATATTATAAGAGCCATCAGACCACCACGGATGGGGCCCAATAGGGCTGATGCCGATACCGTGTCGCGGAGAACCTAACGGGTTACCGGAGCTCCGGCTCGAAGTGCAGGAGTAGGAACGGGGTGGTTTTTAGTCAGTAAGAGTCTGACACTCCCTCCCGCCTCACCCAGGCGGGAGCAGTCATTCGATGATTTTCCCGCAAAAAGAACAATCATACGTCCTTTCCAGTGCAAGTGTCTCCAACTCTCGTTGAACCGTATTGCAATCAAATAGGTTAATAATATTAGTATTCAGCCTCTTTGCATACCTAATGTTATATCATGCCAATAAAAAAAAAAATTGTCAATCATCCATTGGCATGAAACTTACTTGTCAAAATATCAGATAACATAGAACTGTGTACTCAATATTATAAATTTGTGCGTGTCTGTTTGTTTTGTTAGAAATTGACGGATTTTTTTTCTGAATGAGGATAGTAGAAAGGATTGAAAGTAGCATAGGCGACATTTTGTTTCTTTCTAACCCACCACTCTTGCTTAAAACAGGGGCTGGCTGGTTTATATGGAGCATTTCGTAATTTTTAAGAAACCTAAAATTAGTATCATATTTGTACCCAGGACAACATCGGGTACCAATTCTTTTTTATCTTTCGTAAACCTGCCCTTAATACTTTAAAAGATCGCGAGCGAAACCATGGGCAGAAGCTAGTAAGATTAAGGGAAAATTATTCATCTTTTATAATTATGTTCTCGTCGAGTTTTCATTATTTTTAATGTATTCTGCTATTCGGGGCGGGAACAAATCGAACAAAAAGCCATGGAATTTGGTCTAGCTGATCTCGAGTTATAACTGTTGGAACAAACCCGTCTTTCTTTTATGAAAAGAACATGAACATTGTTGAGATTTGTATACCTTTGAAGAAACTAGATGCACTATCATATGGATTGCACAATGGTTCCACCTGATCCTGTATAATAGCCAAGACTTTTGCGTCATTGTCATTCATTTTTGGCTTCCAAAAACCACCACCAGTCTTGTTCATTTC